GCTTCCCACAGATGACCCACACACGCTGCTTCCTGTGTCTCGCGTTGGCCAAGGGCTGCTTGGGGCTGAGGGCCCAAGGGATGGGGGCTGAAGAACTCAGGGTCTGCAGCCGGGAAAAGTTCAGTTTTTCCTTAAGTTTGTGCTCTATAATTTTGTCGTGCTGACTTTGTTTAAGGCAAGAATTTGGGCAAGTCCGAGCTAATAGGAGGTGACCAACTGTCCCAGTTTGCCTAGGACTGAAGGGTTTCCTGGGATGCAGGACTTTGCATTTTAAACCCGAGCATCCCAGGCAAACACTGGTCACCTTAGCTTATAGCCTAAAGGGGTCCCCCGATTAGGGCAGAGGCCATAGGACCGTCTATACACCACCACCAAAATGCAAAAACATGCAGGCATCCAACACATGTTGCTCTGGGCAATAAACCATGACCCCCTGGTGTCCAGCTACACACCCTAATTTGTACTGTAAATGTTCACATCTGGCCTCATGTTCCCACTTCACAGGAAATTGTCCTTGGACTCCAAAGTGGGAAATATCTGCTGGGTCATCATGAAGCAGGGGCTGGGAATCCCAGGTGGGCAAGAAGTGAGGCCTGTGTGTGTCACAAACACACCTGCCAACTAAGAGGCTGCCATACGCCGGCTGCTAAGGGGAGACGCAGGACAGTGTACCATGCCACCTCTGCTCTGGGGAGCGCACCACGTTCAGTTTATGCCCCTCCCCAGCTTGACCAGACCCTTCCCACCCTGCCCCCAGGATGGCCACCACTTGCTCAGCGGGGAGCCCAGCAGAGAAAGGACATGGCTCCCAAACTGAATCCCAGCCCAACACTAAGGAGCTGCATGACCCCACGCAAATTATTTGACTGTGCCAAGCCCCTGCGTCCCATCCCCAGATGGGGATGCTGCCACTGTCCTTCACACAGGGCAAAGTGAGGGCACATGGTTTGACGCCTAGCTGCTTGCACAGCTGCAGACCACAGCACCCCCCCCCCTTCCACCCGAGTGCTGGGGATGAACACGCTCCGCAGGAAGGAGCTGGGGGAGTCTGAGTGGGGTGAGAGCAGCTGAAGGGGTAACGCAGGGACCAAGACAAGCTCAGAAATGCCCTCTCACTCTTTCATCTGCAGCTGTAACTTCCGCTCGGAACTGGACGCTCTCTGCTAAGAGGGAAGGCGCATTTGTAAGAATCCTATACCCCAGGCCACTTACCTCTCACGCTTCACGTCCCTCCCTCAAACCGTCTTGTTGTCCCACATACCCAGCAGGCAGAGTGACCCCATTAAAACACACATCAGGCCCTTCTCTCAAAACCCTCCAACAGATCCTCTCTGGGCCCAAAGGCCCGCATGACCTGCCACCCCCAACCTGCCTCCTCCTCTCCCACTGGGCCTTTGCCCCACTCTGCCTTGGCTTGAAGTGCTCTGCCCCGTGACAGTGTGTCTGACAGTCCATCGCTCGTCCTTCCCTTCCTTCAGGTCTCGGAGGCCCTTCCCAACGAGGCTTCCCTGGGCCACCTTCTCCAAAACTTCCTCCTGCTGCCCCGTACCTCCTGTCCCACCTCCCCGCTTTAGTTCTTTTCTCTCTAACACATACCGTCCGCTTTACTCATTTGTCCCGACTCCCACGATAGAATGGAAGCGCCTTGAGGGAGGGAGTCAGGGAAGTTTGTCTGATTTATTCAGTGCGGTGTCCCCAAGGGCTGAGGACAGTGCCTGACATAATGGGCTGGCAAAAAGTGTTGAATAATGAAGGACTTGGGCACGTGCACATCTCAACAGAGATGGAAGGAACCGTTGCCAGGCCAAGGTTACTGAAGGCTGGAGACAAGATCCTAAGCCTGGGGGTGGCAGGGAACGGACCCAAGCCAGGAAGGGGACAGGTGCAGGTCAGTGCACGTGCAGGTGGGTTTGGAAGTGTGAGCTGAGCAGTCAGCTTCCAGCTCCCATTTTCCCTGCAGGAGGAAGCAAGAGTGAAGGGTAGCGAGGGAGGAGGAGCTCACCCACGAAACTGCCAGGCAGCTCTGAAAGCCCCAGAGAACTAGTGATTGTGGAACTAACAATGGTGTCAACACGACTCCTGGGTGCCGTGCCGTGCCCGTGCCGTTTCTCCAGCAGCATCTGATGTTCAGGAACCAGAGGGGGGTAGAGAGAGAGAGAGAGAGAGAAGGGGAGGGGGAGGGAAGGAAGAAAGCGGGGAGAAAGAGAGAGAGAGGGAAAAGAGCTAGTGGATCCATCCAGGGCTGAGGCTCTGCAGGAAGGCTCTGATGGACAGACAGGAGGACAAGGGATTTAAGTTTAGGTGGCAAGACTGTTGCTGAGACGGTGGGCCAAAGTCTCAAAGCTGGATACTGAGGGAAGAGGAGAAGAGAAGGAACCAAGAGACTAGGAGAGAGGAGAGCCAGGGTCCTGGAGGAAGCAGATGCCCTGGGGAGAGACTGGTCAGGACAGGACACAGCGATCAGAGGTCTGGGAGGGAGAGCAGTTCTGAGGGTTGACAGATGCCAGGTGTGTGCAGCAGGGGCTGCCGTGGTGAGGGGCCAGAGTGTCACGAGGCGCATCCCTGTGGACCCTGAAGACATCAGGATGGGGTAGGGCTTGGGGTCAAAAGCAAGACTCAAGCCACAGTCCTAAAAAATGCCAAAGTCCTTAAGAAATGAGAGAACAGGAGAAATGTTAAAGGGAAAGAGGTAGGCTGGATGACAAGAGCCTTAGAAGGAGACACGGTTTTGTGGGGGGAAGGAGGAGAGACGGGGGGAGATATGTGGTCTGGAAGCTGCAGGGGAATAAAGGGGAACTCCGCCACATGCCTTCTGGTCTTTTAAACCCCAAAACTCTGACACACGCAAGTGAGCACGGTGGGACCAAAATTTGGCCCTGGCTTTTAAGGGCACTGCACTCTTGGCAGGGCAGCAACAGCTTCCTCTCTTGCATAGAACAAATTCACTCCCTGGGGTTCCATGTTGAAAAGGGGCATCTCTACTATCTTTCTGCCGTAAGGCAATTTACAAATTCACAGAAAAGGCTGAAAATATCCCAGGGTGAAGCCTGCACTGTTGGGTTGGTGAATCTCTGAAGAATCCTCTCTGCGTGAAGCTCAAAGGAGTTTGGCCAAAAAACGCTGAAGTGAGCTGAGCTGGTGGTCTGACTGTCCAGGGGTAATCCTGGTCTCACCTTTTATTAGCAGGGGGCCTTTGGCAGGTCCTTTAATTTCTCTGTGCCTCAGTTTCCTCACCCATCAAATGAAGGAGTTAGACAACCTGCTTCAGAGGCACTAACAGCATCATCACTGTCATCTGCAGAGTGTAGGAATTTGCAATGGAAATGGGGCAGACCCAGTCTCATGCCTCCCAATATCTACTCCCCGCTTCCTCCCTGATAGGAGAAACCACACTGTGTTTGGGAATGATGATGTGCACAGCCAGCTCAGTTCTCCCCTTCCCAGACACCCTTACAGTAGCCATGTGGCCTAGTTCTTTTTATTTTTAAATTCTTTTAATTAATTAATTATTATTATTATTTTTTTTTTGGTAGAGACAGGGTCTTGCTCTTGTTCAGGCAGGTCGCAAACTCCTGGCCTCAAGCAATCCTCCTGCCTCAGCCTCCCAAAATGCTAGGATTACAGGCATGAGCCACCAAGCCCAGCCTTGTAGCCTGGTTCTGACCAAGTGCAAACAGAAATCTTGAGGAAGAAAGGAGGGTTCCTGGGAAAACCTTTGCTTTCCTGATAAGAAGGAGCAAACAGAGACTGGTGTCCATATTCCCCCTTCTTCCTGCCTGGGATAGAGAAGTGATGTTTGGAGCTGTGGCAATCACATTATAATCATGGGGCAAATGCCAGTGCTCTAAGGTGTGGAGAAGAAAGGCAGGAGCCTGGGCCCCTGATGGTACGCTGCATAGATGAACCAAAGCGGGGGAAACAAACCTTTGCTCTTTTTATATAAGAAAAATAACTCCCAACTTTCTTAACTACTTTATTTGGGGTTTACGGTTAATTATAGCTGGACACATTTCTAAACAATACAGGAGCTTAGAGTGCCTCCTATTTAAAGGAAGCCCTAGGAGAAAGTACAACACACGGTAGATTCAGGTCATTTACTTCTACCAAGTGATTTTCAAAGAAATCAAATGGTAAAGACCCTGGCATGAACCCCATTTTTCTTTTCCAAATGAGATTTAAAGGGTGGTACCAATTAGGAATGGCAGGAGCAGGGTATCTAGGTGAGCATGAGGGCAGCGTGGGAGGCCTTGCTCAGGCAAGGGGAGGAGCCACTCCCAGAGCTGGAAAGGAAGCAGGTGAGACCACTTCACTTCCCCAAGCCTGGCCCTCGGCCCAAGCTCTGATGAGGACCAACCATCCAGCCAAGTAAGGGAAAGCTGATGTGGCCAAGAGTCCTGGACCCTGGCTATTTAAGCTCACTCTTAAAAAATCACAGAGCCAGCTCTGAATTATGGTGGTGATCGATAACGCAAGTTTAAGAGTGCTACTGCTCTTTCATGCCAATCACACCGCATCTATCCAAAAGCTTCGGAAACAGCCTTAAGCGAACTGAAAGGTTGGATTTGGCAAGCTCCTCTGCGTCCCTTCCCCCTTCCAGCTCCCCTCCCGCAAGGAGAGGGGGGAGGGTGGAAAAATAAGCTTTGAAATCAGACTCTCATTCCCTGTAAAAGCAAAACTGCGAAACGACACAACAGCGATGGGGAAAGCCAGACGATGATTCAAAAACAAAACAGGAGTGTCTCCCAGGCCGCGCCCACACGGGCTCGCCGCGCTCGTCACTACGGACACCCCGCCCCACGCAAGCCTCCGCCGGGGAGGGGCAGGAGCGCGATCGGTCTGCATCTTCCAGGCAGGTGACGACGGCACCTGGTCCCCTGGCCCTCCGCTAGCGGACGGGGGTTCTGCAAGGTGCCGCGACCCGCTGGGGCCGCTCCCCGCGCCTCACGTGCGCGCCGGGCCCGGGCCCTCCCCCGCCCGCCGCGTCCCCGGCCCGCACTCACGCTCCACGTCGTGCAGCTTGGCCCGCTCCTCCTCCAGCTTGCCCTTGAGGCTCTCGGCCTCGCTCTTCAGCGACGCCAGCGTCTCGTTCTCGTGCAGCCCGTCTGTTGCCATCTTCGCGCGGGGACGCGGCGGGGAGAGAAGCGGAGAGCGGGGATGCGCCGAGCCGCGGCGGGCGCTCCGGCCGCGTCCCCCCGAGCGCCGCCCCTGCCCCGCCCTCCGGCGGTGACGCGAGCGGCTGCGGGCCGGGCCGACCCCGCGACCTCTGACCCCCCCGCCCGCTCCCCCACCCCGCGCCCTGGCGCCGTGCCCGGTGCGGGGCCCGAGTCTGCGCTGCCGGGACACCACCCGGGAGAAGCAGGGAGCGTCGCGCCCATTTTACCGGTGGGGAAACTGAGGCTTGGCCATCTTAGGTGATTTGCCCGATAGGGAAGGGCCAAGTTGGGATTTCAGCTCAGGACTCTGGGCTCCTGGGGAGACTGGTGAGGGTCCCAGCGACACAGCCCTTCCGTTTCCCCCACTCCCCACCCTTGGGGCAAATCTCTTCCTTTTGGAATTTGATGTGCGGGCCCGTGGCTGCTGCCAACAGAGAGAGGACCAGAGAGGAGACAGCCACGAGGCCCGACCCTTGCAGCTGTGATGTTCACCCCACAATTACCCGGAAACTTTCCTTGCTTGTTGACTTAAATATACAAAGATAAAACTAGTGTGGCCTCTGAAAGCTCTAGGGTCTCTGCAGCATTAGGAGGCCCGCCCTTAGCTTTCCTTTTCTTCACTGAGAATCCGCTCCCTGGCCTGGGGCAGCAAAAGCGGGTGGCGGTGGGTTGGCAGGTGCGCAGGCGCGGACCTGGGGCTTCTGAGCCCGGTGGTCTCTCACGTCTCTTCTGAGGCTACAGTTCTCCCAAGAACACGCATTTAGTGACTTGTATCAGACTCAAGCATCCCCTCTCCCTGGTCACCTAAAATGTTAGGCACTGTTCTAAGTACTTTAATAACTTGTTCAGTCGTCACAGGAGTCACCCTGAATGGGCACTATTATCTCCATTTTACAGATGAGGAAACTGAGGAAGAGAAAGGCTCAGTAATCTCTCAGGGGTCACAGTCCAAGAAAGAGGAGGAGACAAGATTTGGACCCAAGCAGTCTGGCTCCAACAGCCTCTGGACTTCGGCGTGGATGACCCAAACCGTGCTGCCTCCCTTTTCCCCTCTATGCGATCTTGCCTGAGTTTGTGTGCAGAATGGGAAGGCAGGTCAAGGTTACAAATTCTGGAGGGAACATCATCAAGCAGAATCTCGGCTGCTGTCCCTGCCCTCTGCATATCCCCTCCTTGCCAGAGAAACCCAGCCTCTACTTGCTGTGCTGGGCCTTCTCTGAGAAAAGTTGAAAGGAATCTATATTCATCTGTACGTAGTTGTTTTGCAGGTTAGTCTGAGATCCTTCATTTCCTTATCTGGAAAGTCTACTTCATAGTATCTACTTCATAGGGTTGTTATGAGAATTAAATAAGATCATGTGAGTGAAAGCTCTTAGCAGACTTCTGCAGACATAGCAGGTGCTTATTAGCTGCCAGTTCCCTTCTCCCTTCCCATCAATATAGGTTTATTCATCATTTATCCTCAGCATTTAGCATAATTCTGGCATATGGTAGGTGCTCAGTTAATGCTGGTTTGTTAAGTGGATGTATAAAACAGAATATATAAAATATATAAATTATGTAATTAAAATAAAACAAAATATAAACAAATGTTTTATATACATACAATTTATATAATTATAAATATAAATAATAAAAATATAAAAGCAAAAATATTACATCTGTTTCAGGGTTTGAAGAGCAAAGTTTAAGAGCACAGGCTCTATCTAGAACAGACTGCCTGGGGGGAAATCCTGGCTCTGCTGTGTGGCCTGGGGTGACCGACTTCTCTGTGTCTCGGGCTGCTCATCTGTAAATGGGGGATAGTCCAGCATTCAGAGCGCGTGATGCGTGGCACACAGTACCGCTCACTGTTATCATTGAGGCTGCCTGATACACCTGAGGAGTTCACATGGAGTAATTGAAATGAGACACTAGGTCATGGAGGACACTTTTTACAAGGCCCATCTTAGGAGGCCCAGGCAAAGCATCATCTCCTTGGACCATCGTGGGACAAGTGTGCACATGGCTCAGGGGCTGCCTATGAAGACCTGGGGCAGGTGGTGCTTCACACGGGTGTGTGCCCTCCTCTGGCAGGGGATGGGGGGATCTTTGTGTAAAATAAACCCCAAACATCCTCCAAGCCGGAGAGTCAACCGTCTAGAGATGACGCCATGTACATTTTACTGGTGGGGCAAAGTTTGCAAAGTGGCTTCCTGTACTTTGGTGGTAACTCCTTTTTAGAAGGGAGGAAGCTGGAGATTAGACAAGTTGAGGTTGGCTATATTTCAGCAGTGGTTGAGCTACAGGGGCACCCCTATTCATGAAAAGAGTCCACTGGGGGGCTATGTCTAAATAATCCCAAACACCTGGAGGAAAAGTCGCTGTCAGCCATCGCATGTCTCCTCAGCTAAGGATGCTGTCTGAGTATCTGGGAAGCCCCAAATGCTTGTGGTGGAGATGAGCAGTCATAGTCCCCTGGAAGAGCATCTCCAGGCAGGGCCCCTGAGCTTGGAACACCTATGATGCTACTGAAGACCCAAAAATCTGCGATTCTGGGCTTATTCTGCCCACAGAGGAAGCTTGAAGGCAGAAGAGTTAGATTAATAAATAATAGGAGGGTAGGACCCCCAGAAAGCAGCCTTGCTTTAAGAACTCAATGTCTTCAGTTTTACAGTTTGCAGAGTCAAGTTAAGAACAAAATATACTGCAGCTAGAAGCCTGTTACACCGAGCCTGAAGAAACACCAGAATTACTGTGCAGTACCAAAGCCTTTTTATGCCCCCCCTGGGCTATATACTTGCCATTTGCTTCATGGAAATAATTTTTAGAAATGTAATTACTATGAGGGGTTACAATGGAATCGAGAGCATACAAAGTGCCTTTTCTTTTCCAGTTGGAGAAAATGTAAAGTCATCTTTCCTCTCTTTGATATACATATATATTTAAATACATTGATAACATGGGGATTTCCTGTTGGGTTTTCCTGGAGGCATGCTGTACCACTGGTCACCAGTTGGGGGCTCTGCTCCGCCATGCTATTGAGCACAGCTTTGCAAATCTGACGACAAATTCCTAGGGCTTCAGGGATACTGTGAGCATTTTTGCAGCAAGATCTAAAGCCTGGGCATAGCCATCTCTGGTGAGGACTTGATTTTGTGTACTTTGAAAAATGCCAGGATTTGTATTCAATTCCTGGCCCTCCCTGAAGGCTTAAGCCCAAGGAGCACTTTTTGAGCTTCATTTTGCTCACTACGTTGTCCCTGTATGGTTCGATCAATGAAGTTCTACCTACGTACAGCTGGAACAGCATCCTCGGAAAAGTGCTCCCAGATTGTTTATTTGCCAGACTCTTTTTTAGCTTGGTTGCCTGCCAGGCAGACTGGCAGAAGACAGAAGAAAAAAGCATTAGCCCTAAGAAATAATAATAACTAAAACGGTCATTGAGCACTTCTACTGGGTACTGTTTTAAACACTTTATCAAATGAACTCATTTGATCCTCACAAAACCCTATGATAGAGATGTTAGTAGTATTCCTATTTTACACATGGGAAAACAGGCTTCAGGAGAGAGGTGAGGACCTCCTTGGCACACCACTAACTAGGAACATAAATAGGATTTGAACCCAGGCCATTGGACATCGGAGTCCGCACTCTGACCCCCTGTGCTACACTGCCTTGGAAAGCCCAGGCATGCAGAAAATTTCGTGTTGTGTAAACTGATGCCATCGCAACTCATCTGCCACAGGACTCTTATCAGATACTGTTTTAAGATAGGTGACCCAAATTTTTAAAAAGTGGCACTTACAATTTCTGCACATGTTGAACAGTAGCTCAGTTGTTGAGATTTCTTGAAAACTGGTCTCAGAGCCCTTTGTTTGAAACATTTGTCACATGAGCCAAATACGTTAACTAGAAACGTCTGATCACACATCTTTTACCCAAGATGAAGCTGAAAAAAATGGAAAAAGGAGAGGGGTGTGAGAAAAACTTTGTAAAACCTCTTCTTCCTTTTATCATGGTAATTGCTCAGACTTCTACATGCGTGCGGGATAAAGTATATGCAGTTAATTTGTAACCTTTGATTTATTACAACACGCTGGGTCAACACAACTCATTTATTTAACCAGTGAGAAAGAGGCAGACAATAGGTTTTCTGAATCTAACACGTTTTACCGGTTGTTTTGGCAGCTTGTGGACACCATCGGGTTGATCTCTGCAGCACAGTATCAGTTCTGTGGGGTTTCACAGTGGAAATCGCTGCTGTGATGGATGCTATAATTTAAAACTTTTAAAAACATTCCTCCCCTCGGGGTGGACTTTTGGAGTAAAGACAAGAGTCAGCAAATGGTGACAAAGCCACAAGGCCATGTAAGTGTGGCGTTGGTTCCCGGCAAGGCAGGCACCCACTCATTAAACATTTGACAGCCAAAGACCCAGGGTCCTGCCTGTTCACCCGGAAGTCAGCAGACAGGCCCAGGCCACGGGCGGAGACACCCTTGAGGAAGCAAAACCATCTGGTGGTTAAAGGGACAGGCTCACTGCCCAGTTCCTGGCTCCGCCAAGGCTAGTTACTGGACCTCTCTGAAGCTTTGTTTTGCTAATCTATGAAATGGCGATCTTAAAATCTACACTTCTGGGGTGTCAGGGGAATTATAAGAGACAGTGTGGAAAGCACTTAGCTCAAGGTCAGAAGTAATAGTGAGTTTGCATGACCAAAGTCATGCTGCCCTGAGTGGCAGCAATAGCACAGTCCCTGCTGCCTCGGGAAGGAGGGGTGGCGGGAGATGCTGAGGAAAGAGCAAGAGGAGCCCCTGGCGACAGCTCAGGCAAGACACCAGGAGGTCCTGGATGAAAGCGACGCAGTGGGATGGACTTGGGTCATGCTTAGGAAGGAGAAGGAGAAGGAGCTAGACTTGCAACATGCGGAGACAAGGACAGGGAGGCATCTGTGATATGGCCAAGGTTTCTGTTTGGGAGACGGAGGGTCATGTTGCCGTTGTTGGAGACGGAGGACAGAGAGGTCAAGGGGGAAGGAAGCAGCCAGCTTATTC